AAGAACCAACTACTTGGATTGATGTCGTCCAAGAGTCAGAAAAAGATGTACTTGAGTCAGCATGTGCTGTAAACGGCAACCAACTGATAGTGAGTTACTTGAGTGATGTAAAGTATGTTCTGCAAGTTAGAGACTTAAAAACAGGTTCCTTTCTGCACCAATTACCAATTGACATTGGCTCAGTTTCTGAAGTTTCCGGGCGGCGTGAAGATAGTGTGGTTTTCATTAGCTTTACAAGTTTTTTAACACCTGGTATCATCTACCAGTGTAACTTGGGAACAGAGATTCCTGATATGAGAATATTTCGTGAAATTGTTGTCCCAGGGTTTGATCGATCTGAATTTCATGTTAAACAGGTAAGAAAAATATATTTTCTAATAATACTGTTTCGTTTTATCTAATTTTTAGTTTCACCTTACTTAAATTGGCAGTTTTGAAATAAAATTCTGCATGTATTCTTGTTGCTCAACTTGATTCTTCTAATTCTTTGATGTAATTGCTACATTTCAGGATTTCGTGAGTAGTAAAGATGCTACCAAAATCCCAGTGTTCATTGTTGCGAAAAGGGATATTAATTTGGATGGTTCACATCCATGTTTATTATACGGATATGGTGGTTTTAACATCAGCATTACACCATATTTCAGTGTCAGTCGCATTGTAATCACAAGACATTTAGGTGTTGTTTTCTGCATAGCAAATATTCGTGGTGGTGGAGAATATGGGGAGGAATGGCACAAAGCAGGCTCGCTTGCAAGGAAGCAGAATTGCTTTGATGACTTTATTTCCGCAGCAGAATACCTTGTATCTACGGGTTATACTCAACCCAAAAAGTTATGTATTGAAGGTGGAAGCAATGGTGGACTTCTTGTTGGTGCTTGTATAAATCAGGTCCAGTTCATTTGCTGTCTTCTGATTTTTTCTTCTGTACCTTTTCATTTAACATCTCTCTGTTTGTTATATTCTTACTTCTCTGTACAGAGACCCGATTTATTTGGTTGCGCTCTAGCTCATGTTGGTGTTATGGACATGCTACGGTTCCACAAATTTACCATAGGTTTCTTTAAATCTGTTATTTCCAGTATTTTTTTTTTAACTCTCACATATTAATGAAGACTAGTTATCCAGGTCATGCGTGGACCTCAGATTATGGTTGTTCAGAAAAGGAAGAAGAGTTTCATTGGCTAATCAAGTAAGTTTTATCCTATCTTAAAATATCAGCTATGTATGAAAACATGAAATCACCAAAATTTAGTTTGTTTATTTTTTGTGGCAAATTTTTTGAAATCACATACATCTCATGATAACGTAGTGTACTGATGGAGATGGTGGTGGAAGTGTGGCGTTAGTGGGGTTACATTTAGACAATTTAAAAGGGCTGATGATAGGTTGTTGAAATGTGGCATTTCAGAAATACTTATTTGATGGGCATGGATAAATTAATCATAATTTAGGTGCACACCACCTGACCCCACCACTTTTCTTATTGACAAACCCTATGTTGGACTAGTATCATACTATCACTAGTTCTGTAATTTCAAATATTTTTTATTATATAACTTCAGATCCAATTGATCGATCTTTTCTTCCTTAGAAGTCATAAACTACACATAGACCACATCACACGCACCTCCTGTTTTGAAAAGCTAGTTATGATTTACTGAAGAGATAGTGGCATTACATTAGATTTAGATCTATGACATACTTTCATATAGGATGACGTTGTTTCCTCGTGCCTTTGTCATTAGATAGGTTGGTTATCATAGATGAATATAA